TATATGCATTTGCTGTGTGATTGGTAAGCAATACAATAGTAACATGTCCCCATTACTTTTTTCTAATATCGGACCAATGCTGTCCTAATTGTACATTTCCCCTTATGATGACGACACTCTGACTCGTTTAGGTAGAAACAGTGACCGCCTTCCATTCCATTGACTTTTTTCTTTTTCTCCTTTCTGTGTCATTCTTGAGGAAAAAACAGATGGGATGCCATAGGTCCCCTTGAGCAGAGAAAAAGCGAAATAAATATTTTATTAAAAAAGAGAATTAAGAAAATAGTTTGGAGTATTTTCTTACTGTAGAGAAGCACTGTACATTACTAAGAGACCTGGGTATAAGATACGTGTGGGGCTGGAAAAATCGCATGTCCAAGCCCGTTTGAGTGGTTTCTTTTGTTTTACATTGCCGGGCTGGGTGGGAGGGAGTGGGACTAGGGGCATTTTGGGGGTCTCCTTTTAGTCAAAAGCAAGAAAATGACAAGAAAGAGATTAAAACCCAATGTTTCTTTTAATAGTGTTAAACACTAAAATTTTAAAAAAAAAAGACGAAAAAGAAAAAAAAATTGTAAAATGTGAGAACAGAAGCAAAAGACACTACGCTCTGTCATTTTATCTTTCTTTTGTTGAAAGACTAAAAATGAAATGTTTTTTAGACAATCAAATGTTAGGTAAGTGCAAAAACTTGTTTTTTCTTACTGGTGTAGAAATTAATGCCTTTTTTTATTTTTCAGTTATTTTATAACAACAAAATAAAAAGAACCCCCCATCTGCCAGGTGGGTTTTGGTGTTTGAAATGCGGGGCAAAGCACTACATCACTGCAAATAGTTACAGAGTAGTCTGCATGTCTGTAGGCTGTGTGATTGCGGAAAATATAAATGCTGCTAATATATTTCCTTTTTACAAAAGCATATCTAAATAGATGATTGTTTTGATGTTAATCTTTGTAAATTATGTATTACCAATTTTAACATTGGATGTAATTGCATAAAAAGCTTGCATCTCAATCCTTGAAAGTCTAGTATTAAATGGAAAAAAACTTTTCCTAACTGCGGAGTGGTGAGCTTGCTGTTTTTTTCCTCTTCCCTACCCTTCTCTTTTATCTTCCAGCGTCTTCTCTGTCCTGCTTCCAAGGAGGGCTCTAAAACCACGCCGTGTGCATGCGGGCGCCCACGAGCACCCTCACTGCTGGCTGTGGGTTGCAGCCTTCTCCAGCTCTGGGGTCTGTTCACTTGGGCCCAGGCAGCACACCAGTCACCTCACTGCGCGGCCAGCTGTTCTCAGACATGCCTTGATGCCCTGCACATCGTCCTTTGCACACACACATACATTACCTAACCTAATGCTCACGAACAACCACTGAAGCTGGCAATAACTTGAGGCCACATTTTTTAGGCAGCTGTGTACTGGGACATTTCTGTTAGAAGCAGTTTCCTTATATTCATTTATTAATCCTCACAACACCCTTTTCCGGTAAGTACTGAAACCCAGCTTTATAAAGGAAATGAAACCACAGAGGGCTTCAGTTACTTGTCCCAGATCACACAGCTGGTTAATCTTACAGTAGCCCTCTGAGCTTACTATTCCCATTTTGTAGAAGTGAAACTGAAGCCTGGAAGGTTAAGTAACTTGCCAAAGATCATCTTGTGTTGGAGCCAAGACCCCAGTCTGTGTGCTCATACAGCAAAGTTCCAGAAATAACCAAGTGACACTACTAATTAATAAACCCACTCCTGCCAATAACTGAAAGGACAAAATTTTGTCCCAGACATGGGTCAGGCACTTAGATAAGGAGATTAGGTAGAATACAGGACAATGGACTGCAAAAGTTCTGTCTCCTACAACTTCACTCAGATCAAGGCACCCAGTGCTGCCTTGGCCATAAAAATGATGCATTAGAGTTAAATTTTCTTAAGTTTATCTTTCTCTTTTTTTTTTGTTTGGTTGGTTGGTTGGGGGTTTTGGGGATTTTTTTTGGTACTGGGGATCAAATTCAAGACCTTGTACTTGTGAGGCAGGCACAGTGCCAGAGCTAAATCCCCGGCCCGGTTGGTTTATTGAGACAGGATTCATTGTGTAGCCCAAGCTGGTCTCAAACTCATGGCATTCCTCCTGCCTCTGTCTCCTAAGTGCGGGGACTATAGGTGTGTGCCACCACACCTGGCAGCTGTTTTTATTTTTTTGTACAGATTGAACTCAGCCTTCCCAGTGAGCTTTTTTTTTCTTTTTAATTCTTTGAGATGTGGTCTTGCTAAATTTCCCAGGTCAGGCTCAAAGTTGCCATGCTCCTGCCTCAGCCTCCCAGAGTGTGAGGATTACAGGCATCCCTGGTTTGCTTTTTTGTTGTTTGTAGCTATTCTGCACTTAGATATATGATGATAATGTTACAAAACTAAATTTTCTATTTGGCCTATTTCATGTTCTGCAAGGAGGCCCCCCTGCTGTTACTATGTAGGCCATGTCACATTAGTGATGCCCTGACAGTTTGCTGGGACTCTTCATACTTTAGATCACCCACTCTAAAACCAAGCACATGGGAACACGAGTTGGAACCAAGTTGCATTATGAGAAATGCAAGCTATTATTACTGTTTCTGAAACCTGAGATGCCATGGGCCCCTAAGACGGCTCTGCAGATCTGGAGAAGTACTGTTTGTAGTATCTAAGTAACAGCAGTCTTCTGTATGGGTGGGGGAAGCACAGTCCTAGCTTGGGATTGTAACTCAGGGTCTTTGCACTGAGTTATGTGCCTAGTTTTGGGTTTGTTTTGTTTTGGGTTTTTTTTGGTACCGGGGATCAAACTTGGGGCCTTGCGCTTGCAGAGCAGATGGCGGAACCACTGAGCTAAATCCCCGGCCCTGTTTTGTTTTTTTTGACAGGCTCTTGCTTTGTAATTCCGGCTGGCCTTGAACTCAGAGTTCCTTCTGCCTCAGCCTCCGAGTGCTGGGATTACAAGCATGCGCCATCACGCCTGGCTCATCATCTAACTTTAAACATGAAAATATAACTTCATTTGTTGCTGCCAGGAAGATTACTCTGACTTCAAGGCCAGTCTGAAATACATAACGAGACCCTGTCAAAAATATATATATATGTATATATATTTGTGGTAATAACTTATGATTGAAGGAGCTTCATAAACTCAAGAACCCAAATCTTGTAACAGGATTCCCAGAGGCCCTCAGGATTCAGAATGAGAAACATTAATGTAGAGAGTTCTAACACACTGGCAGGTCAGAGGTTGAAGGAGCCAGTGAGTAACACGAACTGGCCGTGGGGAAGGGGACAAAGGCAGGCCAGCCTTGCTCCTGAGGCTTACAGAGCGCCGGCACCCGCTCCTGTTACTGCCCTGTTGCCATCAGCTTCCTTCCCAAACTGAAGAGACTTCAGGGTACCCTGTTTCATCTCAGAGCGCAGTTTCCCTCTAACTTTCCAGCTGCCTGGTTATCTATCATAGGGCTTTCTATTTTAGCTTTTTGATTCCTATCTAAACAACCCAGGAGGGATTCCCAGCCCCATCCTTGGCCTCTGGAATGCTTTAGCTCTTCTCATGTCCAAAGGCTGAAAGGAAACTCAACTCCTAAAAAGTAATAGACATCAAGTCATTTTGCTTTTTCTTAATGTTACATTGCCACAGAGTAGCAGCATTAAATAGAGGAAAATGGTGTGTGGAGGTGGGGCTGGCCTAGCAAGCAGGATCCTAGGCCCCTCATAAAGTGGCACTTCTTTTTGTAATATTATTCCTTCCCTTCACCTAGAAAGCATAATTTTAAGGTCTAAATCTTCCATCTTTTTTTGTGTGTGTGTGTACCAGGATCAAACTCAGGACCTTGCACTTGCGAGACAAGCGGTAAAACCACTGAGCTAAATCCCCAGTCCTCCATCATTTTTACTCAAGCTTGTGTTCTATCAGTGTAACAAAAACAAACCTCAGAATAGAGAAGCACTTGCCTAAGTGTGGTGGTGCACACCTGTAATCCCAGCACTTGGGAGGTCGAGACAGGAGCATCACAGAGTTCAAGACCAGCCTGGGCTACATGGTGAGCCCCATCTCAAAAAACCAAAGGAGGGCCAGGGATGTAGCTCAGTGGCACCACACTTGCCTCGAAAGCATAAGGTCCTGAGTTTGATCCCCGGTACCAAAACAAAAAACAAAAAAAAAATGAGAACAGAGAGAAGCACCTGTGAGCGCTCAGGCACAAAGCAGGGCCACTTACCCACCCTTCAGGGGACCCTGAGAGCTGCACGTGAGCCTGAGTGGTGTCACACGCCCGCCATCCTAGCACTCCTGGGGGCCGAGGAAGGAGGATTGGAGCCCGGCCTGGGCAACTTACTGATTTAGCAAGACTCCACCTCAAAATTTAAAAGGGGGTGCGGGTGGAGATGCAGCCCAGTGTGAAGGCCTCGGATTGAGACACAGTGCTGGAAACAAGATGACCGACCACCTGCACTAGGCAGGACACCTCGGGCTTGGGCCCCATACCAGTACCTGCCAGCAGCCTGTCCTGAAGCCGCAGTGACACATATTCGACTCCTGTGCTTTATTGGGACAGACGAGGAAACACCATACCACAGGCTCACCCCCGGACGCCCAGGTTTGAGCGGCCGGCAGGAGTACAGAGGGAGTGCAGGTGGGGTCAGAGACCAGGGCCCGGTGGAGTGGAGTGGGCAGGGCACTCGGGGCGGACTTCGGGAGAGGGACGGGGCTGCACGGAGGGCTCCTTCCTACACGCTGGGGGAGCAGGTTTCACCTTACAGATGGGCATGGGGGGAAGAAGTAAAATTTATTTTAAATAGCAGAAATGGATGTGTCATTGTGCAGGCGGCAAAAATGCTGCTGGGACCGTGCCCGTGCCGGGACACCAGGAGGGATGGGGGCGGCTAGAGCACGAGGGAGGTGTACCCCACGGGCACCAGCCCCTCCGCGCCGTCGCGTCCGCAGCGGAGCCAGTCCTCGCCCATGGTGCCCACGACGCGCAGCACCTCCCCGCGCTGGAAGCTCAGCTGGTCGGGTCCCGCAGCAGTGTGGTCACACAGAGCCCGAACCGCCCTGGGGGTTAGAGGGAGATGCTGGGGTGAAGGGGCGGCCCCGCCATCCCGCAGGCTGGGGCTGGAGGGGCTCGGAATCTATCCACCATCGCCTCTCCAGCGCCTGGCCCAGTCTGCAGCTGCTACTTGACGTGGTGAACGACCTCCTACTCCCCACCAGGCCAGCTCCCGTCCCTGGCGGAGGGAAACAGCTCCCTTTCAACTCAGTTGCTCCTGGCAAAAATGCGGCATCTTGGGCGGGGGATTTAGCTCAGTGGTTTCGCCGCCTGCTGCGCAAGCGCAAGGACCGGAGTTCAATCCCGGTACCAAAAAAAAAAAAAAAAAGCGGCATCTCCATCCTCACATCCAGTGTCACCAAAGCTCGTCTGGAGTCCGCACACCCTAGTGCTCTGTCACCGTCAGTTCAATATCCTAGTTCGTGCCTCTCTCCTCTGCCTCTGGACCAGGGTCCATAATCTGCGAATTTCCCTGCGTCTTTCTCCCTGCGTCTCTTCTCGGCACTGCTCTCCACATAACAGTCAGAGATCTCGGCAAAACACAGCCAGCACATCACTGCCAGGCTCACGGGCCTTCAAAGGCTCCTCAGCTGCCCACAGACCCCTCCGACACTTGGCCACCAGTGCCTCCTGCGCCTCCTGCCAGCAGCACAGTCCCATGCCATCACCGAGCCTCCCGCAAGCCGCCAAGCCTGGGACATGGCCTTTCCTGGGCTATGAATTTGTATCTGCACCACACCACAAGCTCCTTGGAAGCACAGACTCTGATACGCTGACCTGCATCCCCTCCTGGCATTAACATGTGGCACCAGGAAACACCTGAAAACATCGCTGGATGAATGGAAAATCAAGAACTCCGTTTAGTAAAAGCACAAATCTGAAAATTCCGCTGCAAAGACACACAATTCCTCTGTACACACACCTACACTGTGCCAGGTGCTTTTATGAAATTACGTTTTGTCCTCGGAGCAACCGTAACAAAGATATTACCCTACTTTTACAGAGAAACAAACTAAGGCTCAAAAAAAACCCCACTAAGGCTCAAAGAAATGAGTGCCACACCAGTAATCCATAGAAAAAGCAAATAGCAACATAAACTACTCCGATTTTAAAGCCCGGCACCCCCTCCCGCCCACTCTGAGCACCAGCGCATGGAGCCACACAGTGCCTAGGCCTCACCTGTGGGCCTGAGCCGCGCCGGGTGCTGAGGCCTCAAGCTCCTTGGGAGAAGGCGTCTCGTGGGGCGGGACCCGCTTCACCAGAGCCAACACACTCACCGCCGGGGGGAGCCAGCTGGATGGCCTCCTGCAGGGAAGAACGGTCACGGGGCTCACCCAGGAAGCCAGGCTTCCAGGGAGCCAGGCCGAGGTCCTGACCAGCTCCCAGTGGTCAGGAGCTGGCACTGCTCAGGGCAGTGGCAGCTGTGGGTGATCAGGAAGACGACGACCAATGTCTTAAAATATGGAAAGTCACATGGGACCTGTGCGACCAGCAGGGTTTGTCCTGGCTTGGAGACCCAGGCAGCTCCTGCTGGGCAACCCCAGAGCAGGCACCAGCAAGCTTTTGTTTTCCTTTTGCTCAGGGCTGTTAAAAGACACGGCCAACCTCTTACCTAAAGGGTCATGAGTCACTAGAGTTTCAAATGAGGCCTCTAGGGGTTCTGAGGGGGGTCGGGGGTCCCGGAGCGGACAAGACTCTCCGATACCTGGACTTCTGGCCTCCGCTCTCATTCTCTGTGGGGCCCCCGGGCACGCCAAATAGTCTCCCCAGCCACGCGCCTCTGCCTGGGGCTGCTTCCTCTGCGGCCAGGGGTCTTTCCTGCGCACTCTCAGCTGCAGTTCCGTGACGCCTGGGTCCCCACCGGAGAAGAGGGAAACCCTCGGAACCCCCAGAGGCATAGACCTGGGAGGCCTGGCTCAGCTGCTCCCACCAGCTGCCTGATGTAGGACTCGAAGGGGCAGAAGGGGCAGGAGCGGCCCCCCGGAGACTCTGGGCCAGGCGGCCCCCCCAGTGCAGCACAGCCTGCACAGTCTGCTGCAGGGCCGGAGGGGGGACCTGAGGGGCAGGAGCCTGCGGCGGGCCCAGGGGCAGGTGGTGGTGGTGCTCAAAGAGCAGGTCCAGATGGAAGGTGAGCACCGACAAGGGCTGCAGCAGAAGCAGCAGCTCTGTGGACAGGGATGGGCAGCCGCCCCAAGCCAGGGAGAAGAATCCGGTGGGCAGGTACAGGACAGACAGCAGGCCTGGGAGAGAGGCCACGTCACCACCCGCCCTGAGCCAGACCCACAGGAGATACAGCCCTGCCCCTGTGGATCCGAGCTTCAGAGCCAGGGCGGGAACAGGAGAGAGACAGTGAGAGCAAGGACAGCGGGGCTGGGAGCCTCCTGTGGGGACCCACAGGCTGAATGGAAGCCAGGGAGCAGGCCAGAGGAGCAGCACGGGTGGCCACCCTGGAGCCCAGAGCCCCAACAGGAAGACTGCTAACAGGAAGCAGAGGGCCGGGCAACAAGGCTTCAATCTTTCTTCCCATGGGAGAAAGAGTAGTAAATCAGAGATCTGGATTCATATTGTGGCGTCTATGGGAGCCAGCAAGAAAGATCCCTTGCCCTCGCCCTCCGTCTCCTCCCAGCCCAGCTTCTGACCTGCATCTTCCTGGAGACTGGAAAACCACAGCTCCAGCTGCTTGGTGCTGAGAAGGGAGGGAAGGCAAGTTGGCGGAGTGGAGCTGCAGGGCCCACTGCTGCGTCCGCACCGCACCGCGCCGCGCCGCATCGGCCACTCACTTGAGGAGGCCCAGGATGAAGGCATGGAAGCGGCTGCGGCTGCTACTCAGAGGGGCCAGGCGGCTGACCTGGCTGTACAGGGATCCCAGGGCCCGCGTGCTGCACCCTGCAGAGGGCGGGCCGGGTCGGTCGGAGGCGCGCTCAGCCAGGCCCCGCCCTGCTTGCCGCGCCCCCCCCCCCCCCCCCCCCCTCACCTGGCTTCACAGATCCGTGCACCAGACTCAGGGGGCTGCACGTGCGCTGCCCGGCGATGAGATCCTTCCGGAAAGGCTTCAGCCCGTCAGCCACCAGGGCGTGGAGGGCCGGGCAGAGGGTGCTCAGCACCAGGTGCCCCACGTCCGGGCTCAGCCGGCTGTCTCCCAGCTGGGCCTGCGGCGCGCGAGGCAGTGGGTCGAGACCCACCCGGCCACCGCCCACCAAAGCTGCAGCGTCCCCGGTGCTGCACCCAGCACCCTCCCTCCCCCACCCTTACCTTCTGGACCAAGTTGCGGGCAGCCCCGAAGTGCGAGATGATTTTGTCCACCGAGGCGCTGACAGCTATCAGGAGGCCTGGGGGTCAGGAAGGGAAGACTCAGCTGGGTGGGTCTCCGGGCAGGTGCACCGAGGGCGCGCGGGGGGGGGGGGGCTGGTTCCCGCCGTCAGGCCCTCGGGGCCCAGGGCCGCCTCCTTGAGAGGCCGATCGCCCGCCGGAGGCCGAGGCCGGGGGTCAGCTCCACCGACCTTTCTTCTGCTCCTGCAGTTGCCCAGCTCCACCCTGGGCTTCTGCCATCCACAGGCGCTGGGCCCCGGGGACGCCGGCGAATGACCAGGAACTGCGCACTGGGTGAGGGGAGAAGGACGCGGCGACCTTAGACCTTAACGAGGCTGGAGGCTGCCGAGGACGCCGGTGCCTCTCAGGGGCTGCCCCAGGGCCCTGCGGAACGCGCGAGCGCCGCCTGCCGGCAGGGAAGGCTACCGGGAGCCCCTCCGGCGCGCTGGGTCCTGGAGGCGGGAAGAGGCCGGGCGGCGGGCGAGGGGCACGTGAGAGCCGGGGCCAATGGGCAGACAGACGGGCGGGCCAGGGAGGAGGGCCGAGGGCCCCGGGCGCCGGAAAAGGGAGCCGGGTCCCGCCAAGGAGCCAGCGGAGGGCGCCCCCTGCTGGAGCCGCCGGGGCGCCAGGGCGCCAGGGCTGCACCTCCAGTCCGCAGCGAGGCGGTCCGCGGGCAGGAGTGAGCGGGTCCCTAACCACGGCTTGGCCGCGGAAGCCCGCGTTTCCTGGTCCGGAGCAGGCCGGGAGAGAGACGGGCGCCAGCAAGGGCCAGCGGACTCCCCGCCCTGAAGAGCCGCAGGGCATCGGCCCGGGCTAAAAGGGGGGACCCAGCCGTGCCCCTCGGAGGTACGGACAGCGCCTGGCGAGGCGGCGGGAGGCCCGCTCCGTCTTACGTAGCCTGGGCGCGGGTGGCGGGATCCGGGTCCGGTGCGGGGCCTTCAGCGGGCGCGGCGGCCGAGGCGGCGGGGGGGCCGCGGCGGGGAAGGCGCTATTCCTGGGGAAGAGCGGGGACAGCAGCAGCGCCAGCTCGGGGCTGTCCAGGCAGGGCAGGGCGCCCCGGGCGGGGGGCGCGTACGCGCCCACCGGGGACAGGCGCGCCGGAAGCAGCTGCTCCAAGGGGGGGCTCGGCTCCTCCAGCGGCCACCCGGCCCGAGGCGCCCCGGGCGGGGACCCAGCTGCGCCCGCGCCCCCGCCCTCCAACAGGGGGCGCCCGTCGGCCGAGAACCGGAGAACCCGGGGCCCCGGGAGCGGGAGGGGACCGGCTGCAGGCGGGGATTGGCAGGGCCAGGCACAGGGGGAGGAGGACAGCGGGACGCGCAGCCAGGCGAGGAGGAGCGGGAGAAAGAGGGAGCAGAGAGTTAGTGCCCAGCCTGAGCCGCGCCCAGTCCCCTTTCCCAGCGCCCCGGCGGAGGGGCGGGAACTGGGCAGCGCGGCAGGCCAAGCGAGGCCGCCCTCCTCCGCCTCCTCGGCGGCCCTTACCCTCGCGGCCGGCTCGCGGGCCGGGCTGCTCCGCCTCCTGCGCTCCCGGGACCTCCTCGCCCGCCGCGGGGCTCGCTGCGCTGGCCTCCTCCGGCTGCCCCTCGGCGATGGGCTGCAGCCCCGGCCGGTTCTTCTTCCTCCGCGGAGGGACGGGCGGCGGCGGAGGGCGGGGCGGGACCAGGGCCCAGCCGGCCGGGGGGTCCCGGGGCGGGACCGCCGGGGGCGGGGCGCGGCTGCGGGACCGGAGCTCCTTGAAGGTGGTGACCTCGCGCGGGGGCACGGAGGAGCCGCTCAGCGAGCCGCCGGGGGGCAGCTCCGAGTCGGGCGAGAACACGATGAGCCAGTCGCTGCGGTCTTTCTTGGCCTGCGGCACGAGGGGCAGCCCCGGGCCCCGCTTGCGCTTCTGGGCCAGCTCGTGGAAGGACGTTACGGTCCGGTGGGGCGCCGGCTCCTCGACCACGTCACTCCTCCGGCCCCCGGCCGCTTTCCCCGCGTCCGTTTTCGAGCCAGAATCGGCTGTTCCTGTGTTGCTGTTCCAACCATGGCATTCTCCAGGTTCCGTTTTCCAGCCCGAGTCAGTATTTCCGCTGATTTTCCAACCACAGTTATTGTTCTCTGTGATTTTCCACGCAGCTTCAGTTTTCTCTGTATCAATTTTCCAAATGGGGTTAATTTTCCAACTAGGCTCTGTTCTCCCGGCACCGATCTTCCCATCCTCCTCCTCGGAGAGCTCGGAGGCGGGGAGGTCCTGCTCCCCTCCATCGTCCTCCTCCTCCAGGCCCGGCGAGGGGAGGCCCTGGCCGGCGGTCAGGGCGTTGCAGTTCGAGTCGAGGCCAGGCCCGGGTGGGGAGGAAGCTCCGGAGCAGGAATCGGGGGAGCAGCAGAAGCTGTCTGGGGAGCAGGTGCCCGGGACCGCCAAGGCCAGTGGGAAGCCCTGCTCCAAGGGGACGACGCTGGGCTGGTAGTGGGCATCCTCCTCGCCAGGCCGGTGCCGGGAGTAGACGGAGACGGGGGACTCATCGGGGCTGAGGTCAGAGCAGGAGCTGAGCGAGGATGAGCAGCCGGGGTCGGAGGGCGAGGCCACGCCGTGCTCCTCCTGCGTCGGGCCCGGCTGATTCTGCGTCGGCCCGTGCTCCTGGCAGCACCGGCAGGGCACTGCGGGGCTGTTGGAGTTGGCGTCCACCAAGGTCCCGCCGCAGGGGCCGCTGCTCTCCTTGCCCCCGGTGTCGCCCGGGGGAGGGGACGCGCTCAAAGGCCCCTCCCGCAGCTCGGGGCGGCGGGACAGGTGCAGGCCCAGGGAGACGTGCTGGAGGTGGATGTGGTTGAGGTTGCAGAGTAACGCCCGCTGAGGGGACAGCATGGTGCCTGCCGCGACCCGGTGGCCTCTGGAGAACCAGCAGGACTGGGCCTCTCGCATCCACCCACCTGGCCACGCAGATGCAGACCTGGAAGACAAGAGTGGAGAAGCCAGCCAGTGAGGGCGAGGGCCGCAGGAAGGACAGCGAGGTGACTGATAGGCGGCAGGCGCAGGCCTAGAAAGGCGCTGGCTGCTTGGGAGTATAACTGAGATGCAGATCCCCCTCGACTGGCCACTAATTTCCACTGCGGTGTTTGCAGGTGCAGCCGGATGCAAATCCCCGGGAACGCAGAAGGGAGGGCAGAGAATGCGGCTGCGCTCTGGCTCTCCGCAGGGGTTCGGAGCTTGGAAAAGGAGGGGCCCAAGGGACCCCGATCCTTTCCGCATCCATCCGGCCCTGGCCTCCAGCCCACCCGGCGTTCCTGGGGAAGCCGCAGAGACCCCGCCCCGGTGCCCTGAAATGAAGCAGTAGAGGTGAATGCGGGAACGGGGCGGGGCGGAGCAGAGGGGCGGACAGCGCGGCCTCCGTGGGCTCTAGCCCGCAGCGCTCGCACTGGGTGCCCTCACCCCTGGCTCAGCCGCCGGTCCGTTCTCCGCCGGTCTCCATCATCAGCCACCGCCCATCCTTTCCCTAGCGCTTTCCCGGCTTCCCTGCCGCGCCCAGAGCACCCGCGGGCCGCGCTGTCCTCACCGGGTCCTCCTGAGCCGCTCGGGGGCCTAGGGCGGCTGTTGGCTCCCGGGTCCCCAACAGCGGGGTCCAGAGCGGAGGGGGGGGCGCCGGGAAGAGCCGCTGGCCGCGCAGCCGCACCCCTTGGCCTGCGGGCGGGGCGGACTCGGGGCCTGACGTCACGATCCGTGGCTGCCCAGGCCCCGCCCGTAGCTTCCCCGCCGGTCGGAGGCACGAGGCGGCCACGGCCTGATTCCGGCATGAGCGAGGCAGACACAGGCACGAGGGGTTCGCGGTACTTTATTAAGCGGCCGCCCTCCCGCCCCGTGGTCTCCAGGTCACTTTTTCCGCTTGTAGATCTTGTTCGCTAGCCCCAGGAAGATGGCCGCGGGCAGCGACGCGGCGTGCTGCTGGACGAGGCCCTGGAGGCGGCTGTAGCTGTCCTCCTCGTACCGCAGGAACGCAGCCGGCAGGTCCAGCTCCTCGTACAGCGCCTTCACCCTGGCCACCTTCTCGGCGTCCTTCTGCCCATAATTCTCCTGGAAAGTGGAGAACAATGGACTCGGCTTCCCCGGCGCCTCCAGGCCTTCTGCGCGCGCTCCTCCTCCACCGCCCCAGGGCTCGGGCCCACCGTCCTCAGGCCAGGGGTCCCCTAGGTGGGCAGCACCGGAATTCTGGGCCAGGTCATGGTCTGGGGGAGCTGTTCTGGGTGCTGTTTGGCAGCGCCCTCACCTCTACCCACTAGACACATTTTAGCACAAGCATTCACCAAGTTGTGATGACAAAGTTATGTCGTCTTTGCCAGACGTCGGCCCCAACTGAGAACCTCTGCTCTACCCCCTTTCTCATCCCCGCAGAGACCCCAGGCTGCTCCTGGGCACCTGCAGGATCTGGCGCTGCTCCAGAGTCGCCCGCTGCAGGCACTGAACCACCAGCCAGCTGCATTTGTTGTCCTGGATGTCGGTGCCAATCTTCCCTGTCACACTGGGGTCCCCAAAGAGGTCAAGGAAATCATCCTGGGTGGGGTGGGGGCAGCACAGGAAGGATGAGGGGCTCCAGACAGGCCAAGAGGAGGGCTGCTCCCTGTCCCCTGCCACGCCACTGGGCCTTCCCACCTGGATCTGGAAGAACTCGCCCATCTCCGTCAGGATCCCCCTGGCGCTGCTGTGCTCCTTCTCCCCGTCTATGCCAGCCTGCAGGGAGGGGAGCGGGCACCACAGGGCCTCATGTTCCCGGAGCCTGCAGCGGCCTCGCCCTACTGCAGCGCCCAAGGGTCTCTCCTTCCAGGTGTCCTTGCCGACCCAGATGCAGGAAGCCCGACCAACAGGCCGGCCTCTCCCACTTATCTCAGCTGGGCTTCAGAACGCCCCCATCCGGTGTGGGTTCCAGACTGGCCCATTCTGAGGCCCCTGGGAGCCTCTGTCACCCTGAGCCTTCTTCCTAAGCTTTCTGTCACCTCCAGTGCCTTTCAGGATGGAAAGTAAGTGATGCCACTGACAGCATTTGAATCCAGCCTTCTCCCTCTCAGCCTCTCAGAATTACCTCCTCATTCCTCCCCACACTCATATGCAGGATCTATCGGCTTCTATGTGCCAGGTTCATCTTTACAGTCCTGTGGGGCAGGAATTTGATCCCAGTCTCACAGCTGAGGAGAAAGACTCAGAGCTGGCATGGGTGCACATCTGTAATCCCAGCACTTGGAAGGCTGAGGCAGGAGAATCACTGTGCCTGTGCTATATACAGTGAGTTCAAGGCCAGCCTGAACTACATAGTGAGACCCTGTCTCAAAACACCAAAAATAAAAATAAGCTGAGAGACTTAAGTGGCTTGCCCAAGGTCACACAGCCATTCAGCAGGGCACATGACTGTCCCAGTTATGTACTCTGCCCATGTGGGGCATGGGGGTGAGGAGGCTGACTCACCATGTACATGGCAGCAGCGACAGGCAGGTAGAAGGAGTAGAAAGCTGTCTTGTACTTGACAATAGATTTGTACCTGAGTCGAGGGACCAGATAAAGCCCTCAGAAGGCCGTGCCCACTCTGCACCCTCCTCACCGGCCAGACCCAGGTCCAAGGCTCACCTCTTCTCAGTGTATCTGCTGAGGTCCACCTGGCCCTGGGGGGCTGTGATGAGGTCCAGAGTCTGCCCGACCTCCGTCTGGTAGGAAGTCTAAGGGAGAGGAACACGGCTGTGAGCCAGGCTTCCTCCAGATACAGGAGCACTGACATCTGGGCCTGCATCCCACGCTCCGTCCCAGCCGACAGTGGGCAGTCGGACATTGAGCAGGAGACACGGAAACTGCAGGCCCACGAGCATGTGGGCCCCTCATTACCACATCTTCCCATCCCACAGCTTGGGGAGCCTTCCGCCACTCCTGCATGCTCCCAGCGCCCTCCCTGGTCCACCTTGCCAGGTGATCTGGATGAGCACATCCTGGAGGCCAAGGCCACTGTGGTGACCACTGGGCCCGGGCATCGGCCAGGAGCGCACCTGCAGGAAAAGCTCGAGCAGGTTCAGGTAGTAGGGCTGCTCCCGGCAGTGCAGCCTCAGCAGGCGGTAGATACAGGATTCCAGAAGGAAAGCATCGTTGATGGCATCCAAACCTATGCCTGGCTGTTGGGGCATGGGGAAAACAAGTCATTCATCTCTGGCTTTCGCTCCTACCTGGAAGTATCACCCAGATACCGCCACCAGGCTGTATGCTGTCACCTCCCCACATTACCTTCTGATACCAGCAGGCCCGTCCCCGGCGGGTCAGGGATGAGTCCATGATGTCATCTGCCACCAGGAAGAAAGCTTGCAGCTAGGAAAAGGAAGAGACCCAGGCCCTTTACTGTGCCTTAGATGCACACGGAGCTGGGAAGGATGCCAGCGTGGGGAGGTCCAGGGCTTTAGTGGCGAAGACCTTGTAAAGTGACAAACCTTTTTGGCTCAGACTCCCCATCTACAAGACAGGGCCACAACACTTATTTCCAGGGTAACAGCTGAAACTGATCTCTGACATCTCCTATTTGGGGGAGAGGGAGTTGTACCCAGGCTGGCCTCCAGCTTGAGATCTTCCTGACTCAGCTCCCAAGCTCTACGATTACAGGCATGTGGATCTGATCTGTGAAATCTCTAATCAGCTTGTCCCTGGTCCCAGCGGGATGATAAAACACCTTCACATAAGGTACGATTGGCAAAAACTACAATGAATGCTTAAAAAAGATTATTTCATCAACTGAAGACACTAATAAGCCAGACATGGTGTCACATGCCTGTAATCCCAGCACTCCGGGAGGCTGAGGCACAGGGATTCCAAATTTGAGCCCAATCTAGGCAATTTACCAAGACCCTGTCTTAAAAAATAAAAAAGGGGGGACCAGGGATTTAGCTCAGTGGTGCCGCCACTTGCCTCACAAGCACAAGGTCCCAAGTTGGATCCCCAGGACCAAAAAAAAAAAAACAGCTGGGGTGGGGAGCGCTTAGGACATACTTTAGACCAAAGGCCCAGAGTTCCACTCCTAGGACTACAAGAAAATATGTATTATGAGAACTCAGCACTCCTCTCCTAGTGCAGGCTTTAGGCCAGGCCAACAACCATACCCCTTCAAAGGCCCGGAGCCAGAGAGAGAAGACAAGGAGCTGTGAGGACTGGAGCTGAGTGGAGCCACACAGGAAGCCTGGGTGCCTTGGGGGCCTAAAGGAAGCAGCTCCACTTGGCTTCAGACAGCTCTGCTGTATACACAGACCCAGAGGTTGCAGTTTTCCAACTAATGCCAGAAATCTGGGGGGTTTCTGTTTGGTTTGGTTTTGCAGTACTGGGAATTGAACACAGGGAGTGCGGAGCTACATCTCCAGCCTTTTATTTTTTATTTTCAGACAGGAAGTTATTCAGGCTGGTCTCAAATTTGCAATCCTCCTGCCTCAGCTTCAGGAGTAGCTGGGATTATAGGAGGGTACTGCCAACCCAGTGGTGTGAAACTTAGGGGATTTAGGCTTAAACATTTTCAAAAACTCAGTGGGTGTCCAGTGTTGCTTCTGTTTTAGAATAATCTTTTGGAAGGAACATGACAATTTATAGCTGACCTCTGCCCAAGGAAAACCTTGACACCCCGTTGGCAATTCTATGTTGCTTTTGGCAAAAGAGTAATCAGCCCTTAAGTAATTCACTGCCTGAGTCTGGCTGAAGCACTAGACAGAAACACACCCGCCCGACCCGCCATGGTGCACTCAGGGCCTCTCACCAGCTCCACACACCAGCCCACGGTCAGCACTCGCTGCATGCTCTCAGCATCCTGTTTGCTTGGCTCCACCAGCTCCTTGAATGCTACCAGCACCGTCAAGCCCCGGATGTACTTGCCTCCAATGGCATTGTACTCTAGGACCTGTAGCCAGGGGAGAGGGACAGGGAGCAGTGACTGTGAGTTCTTCTTTCCAACCCCATAAATTCATCTTCCCCAGCCCAACCCCCACCCCCACCCCCACCCCCTGCCCCGAGAACCTTAGGATTGCTTCTCTCTCTACTCTGTCCCCAGCATCCTGCAGCACAGCTGGAAGAGTTGCCAAGGGCCCAGTGCCTAACCATGCCCTCTGCATTCTCTGCCCCAGTAAGTTCAAAGGCTCCTGCAGACTAAATCCTCCAAACCCAGAACTCAGGGAAACACAGCCACAGAAACAGCTGACTCGCTCAAGTCCCTCAGGCTGATTGCACCCCACACACTTCCTCTGCACAATCCATCCATCCCAACTATTTCCTCCTCCCCACAGTTCAACCCATCTGCAGATGAAACGCCTGCCTGCGTTAAAGACAAGGTTCCTCCAGCTGGGCAGAGGAGACCCAGGCTGGGGGGCATCTCCCCTCCTCCAGTGGCTCCTCCCTCTGCTGCCCTGCTGCCATCCAGAGCCAACGCAGAGGGAAGATGTTCTTCCTAGTCCTTATCCAGGTACAGACAAGGCCCCTCCCTTTGCCTTGGTTCCCTTCAGGCAGACGAGAGACCACATTCATAAAAAGAATCTTACTCCATATTTCATGAAAGTAAAAGGGAGAGAAAATAAAAGAACGTAGGTGTTACAGCAGTCCTTCCTGTCCTGGAACAGGGTTTCAACACAGTCCGGTCTCTGGGGAGTCACTCAGCCCCCTGACCTTCCCCCAGCTGTCTGCCATGGGAGCATTGTAAGGTTTCAGGACCCAGAATCAAAGATCGACCAGGTCTGAGGCCTCCACTCCCAGGAAAGCACTCTGAACGGCCCACCTTCTACAGAGCCAAAAGTCAGGGCGATGGGCTGTGTGCATCTACCCGCCCAGGCCCCCCACTCCTGAGGCTCCTGAGTCACCCAGGTGAAAGCCTCATCCACATCCACCACGCCATCCCCCAAAGCCCTCACTGAATCTCACCCACACACAGTGACCAAGTCTCACTTCCTTGAGTCACAAATCCCTCACCTCCTTGAGCCGGGCTAGGACATCTCCAATCTCTGGGTGCTCTGTGTCTTCTTCAGTCAGCACCCTGACAATCTGAGAGAAGTGCTGGATGAAATTCTGCTTTTCTTGAGCATAAACATCCGACTTCTGGTCTCCACTCATCCTGAGAGAGGAGCAAAGTGCTCTGAGAAAAGGAAGAACCAGTGAGAAATCCAGCCAGGGGCTCCCCTCCCCCAGGCCCCTCCCACGCACACTCACCGAGGCTGCTCTGTCCACACTTGGCACCAGCAGCGGGCACCGTGCCAGGCCCCCAGGAGGGAGGGCCTCCGCGGGGAACCCAGCCACCTCTCCCTGGGTCCCCAGCAGGGGGCGGGCAGCAGGAAGACCCCCACAGATCTCAGCAAACGGGACAGGGGCATCGTGGGGGTGGCATAGGGAAGGGGCGCGAGCACTCCCTGCAGGGGCAAGCACCGAAGGCAGATGCGCGGGGACAACACCTGTGTCACCCCCACGCCAAACTTCTGCCTCCGGGCCCAGAATCTCCCGCCCTGTAGTGGCCAATATTTGGGTATAATTACAGCAAAAGCATATGTAGAGGACAAAAAACATGTGGGTGACTGAGATCCGACAGATCTTCACTTAAAATAAGACAGCTAAAACTGAATGCCTTCAAGGCTTCTTTGCACAAGGCGGCGATGGCACACAGCAAGAGAGCACCAGGGACAAGGGGCTGGGGAAGGCCTCAAGTCACCCGTTGTACAGAAGCCAAACTGAGGCTCCGGGAGATAAACAGCCACAAAGCTAGTACCCAGGTCTACCTTGCCGGCAGTGAAGAGGGACACCCAGGCTCTGAGCTACGCCCCGGGGAGCGGACGATAACAAGCTGGAACCCGTGGGTGCTAAGGACACATGGTCTGCAGCACTGGAACGAGCGACCCGGGCCTCACAGGAGAGCGGGGACCGCGCAGGTGAGCTCGGAACCGCTCCGGGCGGAGGGCTCGCAGCAGGAGTTAACTGGGGGACCGGGCAAGTTCCGGGCTTCGTGACAGTACATGGGCAGAGTTAGGAAGTTTCCTGAAGCACAGAGGGGCCAGCCAGTCCGATCCACCGACTCCTAGAAAATCAGGCCCGGCACACAGGCTGGACTCTGCGCCGCACATACTGCCGAAAATAAGGCTAGGTCTGGGACCTCTGCATGTATCCCCAGCGCTCGACAGCTCTCACCTGTTCAGGACGCAGTTCCAGCCTGGTCCAGATTGTTGGCTGGGTAAGACTAAGAAACGCGCTCGGCGCTGGGCCCTCTGGGTCGGGTAGTTCTCGGTTCCCCCTAGGTGGCGGCAGGAATATGGACCATTAGACTACGACTCCCGGCGTTCCCTGGACGGGGGCGGGACGACTCGAACTAGCGCGGCTGGCGCGGCGGAGACCGGCAGCGCTGACTGGCTACTTATCCTCGTGTGAGCATGGGGCCCTGTGACGCACGACCAATGGGAGGGCTGCTCGCCGGGCGACGGGCCGGGAGACGCACGCCTGGGAGGTAGGTGATGTGGGGCTTGAGGCCAAGGGCCGAAAGCGAACGAGGGTGGGAATGTTCAGTCTGTTACCCTGGCTCCTTCTCTTCGCGTACAGCTGATTAGCATGTTAGTACAACCCCAGCAGAACTGACTTTACCACTTATTCTAACTCGGGAAAAGAATGTAAAACCCTGGATGCCCCGCTGACTCTCCTGAAATTGGTTTTCCTCGTCTGTTTAATGAGGGTAGTAAGTAAGATAGCTGGACTGGGCTTCCTCACCATTCATTCACCATGCAAAAGTTATTTGCTGCCGGGTGCAAGCCTGTAATCCCAGCTCTGAGCTGAGGTAAAAGGATCGCCGTTGAGTCCTGTGCAGCCTGGGCTACCGAGTGAGACCACGCGAGCGAGTGTGTGGAGGGAAGGAGACATGTTTAACAAGTGTAAATGATGAAAGAGTAGAGCAGGAAAGGAGGACAAAGGATGGGAGGACCCTACTGTAAAAAGGCGTGATAACAGCTCTGCGTGGTGGTGCAGGCCAGCCTGGGCTACGTGCTGAGAGCCTGTCTCGAAAAACAAAGTGATCCGGGCCCGGGGTTTTAGCTCAGTGGTCCCGCACCTGCCTCGCAAGCTCAAGGTCTTGAGTTCGATCCCCAGTTCAGAAAAAAAAAAAAAAGTGATCAGAGAAGGCCTCACTGACAAAATGATATCTGAAAACAAATCAGTGCCCTCTACTAAGGCTGGATTAGGTTCCTTAATTGGAAAACCTCAAGGAGACCATTGGGACTGGATTGAAGGGAAGATAGTAGAGGGGAGGATTGAGAAATTGCAGGGGTCCCCGGGCATCAGGCTTTCACTGTGCAGACAGCATCTGTGGGCACGAGCTCGTGTGTCCGCCGCGTTCTCGGCGCTGCCTGCTTTTCCCAGACCCCTCTCAGGATGTGCTCTGTAGAAGGGAGAGGTGTTCGTGGGAATGGAATCCAAGGCCTCACCCATGCTGGGCAAGCACTCTAGCCCTGAACTCTGTCCCCGGTTCGCCCAGTCTGATTGTCTTTTCTTTTTTTTTGGTACGGGGGATCAAACTCAGGTTCTTGTGCTTGCAGGGCAGGTGGCAGAACCACTGAGCTAAATCCCCGGCCTGTCTGTCTGTCTGTCTTTCTTAAGACAAGTTCTCACTATCTCCCTACGTAGTTCCAGGCTGGTCTTAAACTCACCATGTAGCCCAGGATGGCCCCATATTTGTAATCCTCCTGCCTCAGCCTCCTGAGTCCTGGGATTGCAGTCATGCACCACCATGCCTGATTCTCAAAAATAACTTTTAAAGGGATGGGGCTGAGGATGTAACTTAGAGCAAAGGCCCTGGGCTTGATTCCCCCCCCCCAAGAAAAAAATTGTTACTGTTTTCTGTTTTCTGGTTTTGTATGTCTGTTCCTTTATATACTGGGGGTTAGACACAGAGCCTTCACACGAGCTACGTCTCCAGTCCTTTTTAATTTTTTTTTTTTTTTTTTTTGAGACAGGGTCTCACTACAGCTGATCTCAAACTTGTGATCCTCCTGCATTAGCCCCCCAGAGAACTGGGATTTCAGGTATGCACCACTATGCCAGACTCAATTTCGGTTTGAGCTGATGAAAAGTTAGGGAAATTGATAGTGATAATGGCTGCACAACATTGTGAATGCACTTAATATCCCTGAACTGCACATCTCCAAGTGATCGGTCTTATCTCTTATGTTGTGCATAGTTTATCACAGTGAGGTAGCTCCCCCAGGCCCATGACAACCCTGCCTCTCTGGCAGTGTCCTCGTGTGTGTGTGTGTGTGTGTGTGTGTGTGTGTGTGTGTGTTCCAGGGATGGATTTCAGGGAGTCCAAGACAAATGGTGAGGACACCGAGTGCTCTCAAGAGGAAGGAAGGAGATGAAGTGGTCTAAAAGAGGTTGCTGCTAAGGCGAGTGGAAAGCGGTCCTGACTGCTGTGTATTGTACCATGCTGCTGACTGCATAAAAAAGGAAGACTGTACATCGTTTCTGTGTGTTTGTTTGGTTTTGGGTACTGGGATTGAACTCAAAACTTTGTGCTCCCAAGGCAGGCACAGTGCCTCTGAGCTAAATCCCTGACCCCATCGTTTGTACCTGATGGAAATATCACGGAGGGTGCATAGAAAATTCAGAACCAATGGGCTGGGGATTTAGCTCAGTGGTTTCTGAAGGACCCTAGTTAGCAAGACAGACTCCATATTGCTGCTTGACCCACCTGCTTGCCCTTTAGATGAACTCAGAAGGAGGAAGCTTAGAAACCTCCTCCCCTTAGAAAGTCTCTTTAGAAACAATTAATCAACTACTGTTTTACAAATGTTCTAACAGCAGGACGTTCCGCTTCTGTACCTTTTGCTTGCTTTACTAGTTCTATCCCATGGAGGGGGGCCTAGAAACTGCTGGCCTCAAAGGTGTATAAAACATGTTTGTCAACCCCCAGCCGGGGCTCGAGTCCTCGGCTCGGGTCCCGGCCGGTAATAAACTCCTGTGTGGATTTAATATCGGTCTCTGGTTGGTTCTCTCTCGCTGGGTGTAACAGTTTCACTGCCTGCCCCGCAAGGGGAAGAACCTGAGTTCGATCCCCGGTACCAAAAAAAAAAAAAAGAAAAGAAAAAGAAAAGAAAATTCAGAACCGGGTCAGGTCTTATGGGGCCCTGAGCACCCGGGGAGGCTCAGTGAGAGAAGCTCTTCGCCCGTATCCTGTGCCTCTGCAACTTGTATATTTGGAAGATATCTATTCAAATAAATAGACACATTCTGAAGGAATTCTATAGGCAGGGCCACAGCCCCGTGCTCTCCGGCAGTCAGAGGGGTCGCTCCGCGTCGCACGTGCGGACAGAAATGACTCAGTGCTCTCCTGGCCCGCGCTCACAGGCTCCCAGGACATTATCGTTATGGACCCGCGGCCTCGCGGAGGTCCATTATCTCAGACTGTAGGTGATGCCAGTCACTTCCCGGGCGTTGCGAGGGGGCTCTGCGGCCCCTTCGCTGTCCCCGGGGCCTGTGGCTCTCGGGCGCCCCCTGCAGGCCGGCCGGAGCCCTGGGGGAGGCCGGGCTTCTCAGGTCTGCAGGCCGCAGCCGACCTGGCCCGCGCTCCCGCGCACGCTGTGGGTGCCCGAGCCCAGAAGCCGAGCTCGGCTGGGCCCGTGTACGACTGGGAGTGTGTGTGTGTGCGGGAGGACGGCGGTGAGGCAGAGTGCGTGCGCGTGCGCCTGTGTGGCTTTAACAGCCTCAGACCTTGACCCAGGCGGCCTGGTGTTGGCTCTGTGAAGCCGCCGCGGGCTCCTCCCTCACCTCACTGCTGCATCCCCCCCCCCCCCCGGTCCTTCCGTGTCCTGGACACAATTCCTCGATTCATTGAAATCACCAAAGCTGGGTGTAGTGGCGCACACCTGCAATCCCAGATGCCCCTGTTCCGTGCAGATCCCAGTGGCCCCTTGTTCTCCAGTTTTCACACCTACAGCCTCTTGCTCAAGAGCGCCTGGCCCAGGGCTGGGCATAGTGGTGCACGCCTATAATCCCAGCACTTGGGACGCTGGGGCAGGAAGATCGCTGCGAGGTTGAGGCCATCCAAGGTGACAGTGAGCTGAAGGTCAGCCTGAACTACATAGAAAGACCTTGTTTCAAAAAAAAAACAGAAGAAAAAGTGCCTAGTCCCGTGGCAGCCATCTGTCTGTGGTCACTTGCTGACCCAGGGCTGCCACCCTGCTTCTGCACTGTGTCCTGATAGCAAGTCAGCATTCCTGTCCCCTGGCTGCACAGGGTGAGGGCAGCTTTGTGGTGTAGCTGCCCCTCCATTAACTGCTTGGGGCTGGGGTCTCTGGAACCTGTGGGCTGCCAGAGGGTCCCCAGTCAGTTCGAAATCGACAGGCCCACCTTAAAGTGCCATACCCCTCCGAAGCTCTCCAGTCCTCGGAGTCCAGTGAGTTCTCTCTGTGACTGCTCTTGTGTATCTTTAATTGCTCTGTCTCCTACACACTGACAGCCTAGGACCCTGTGCTCATTTTGCCTTAGGAAGTCCTTGCTATTTTGGGGGGTTGTTTTCTTTTGTTTTGTTTTGTTGAGACAGGGTCTTGCTATGTAATTCAGGCTGCTGGCCTTGAACTCACTGTGTACCCTAGGCTGGCCTCAAAATCACAGTGATCCTCCTGCCTCAGCCTCTCAAGTGCTGCAATTACAGGAGTACATGAACACATCCAGCCACAGAGGACTGGGTGCTGCATGAGCCAGGAATCTGCCTAACCCATTCTTTTGCACCTCTGAGACACTTTCCTGCCTTCCTCTGAGACAGTCCTGAGGACAGAATGGAGCCAAGTGGTTACACCTTGGGCTCTGGAACTACACTCCCTGGGTCTGAATCTCAGTTCCACTACACACACACACACACTCATGCGCATGTGTGCACACGCACACACTCATGCGCGTGCGTGCACACGCACACTATAATACGTACTCCGTGGTGCTGTGTAGAGCCTCACAGTCCCTATGCTACACCACAATCCCATGTAGCCCAGGCTGGACTTGAACTTTCGATACTCCCTCAGACTCCTAGTGCTGAGATCACAGTTGTGTGCTACCACACCTGCCACTGACTAGATTTTTAGTCTTAGACAAATGTATCAGGCTAGGTGCTTTCAGGAAAAGGAAGCCTCTCTCCAACTAGGTATGAGGGGTGTTCCTCAACAGGATTATATGCCAAGCGGTGGGCTACAGGGTACTTCCGGGCTCATTTGGCAAAGGACCTCTTGGACACTGGAATGAATCCTCCACCCTGGGCTATGAATGGTCTGGGACAAGGCAGCTCTGTCCCCTAGGAGGGACAGTGACTTTAAGGATTGATCCTGGAATTGGTCCTAACAAGGGCTGAAGGGACACAGAGACAGTGAACATGGAAACTCAAAGGGCACTTTTCAGAGGGGAACCCAGCACAAGGGGCTGTGACACCAACACAGCCAGGGGTCAGAGAGACTGACCACTAGGCCGGGCCACTTCCTCCTGCCTGCACTCAGCCCCAGTTCCTCCTGAATCCCGAGTGCAGAGTCACAGGGCTGTCATGGGACCTGGAGCTGTGGTGACCCATCCTCCCCCCAATCTCAGAAGAGGTAGGCACCCGGGCCGCACTCCATGAGCTGCTGTCTGAATGCTTCTGGTGGAGGGGAGCTCATTCCCCATGGGCCCAAGGTCAAGGAAGGCTGGTGCTCCAAAAGGAAACAAAGACAGGAGGCCTTCTCGCTGCCCTGTGGACATGGGCGGAGCATTCTCATTGCTACAAACGCCTTCCTGAAAACTCAAAATCAGTGCTTGTTTCCACATTCTGCTCCTACTCCACCAAGTCTAACTCCCGCCCCATAGAATGGCATCACATAGCTGAAGGTGTCCAGCATGGAATAGCTTAGTATGGGAGGCCGGGGCTTTGCTGGCCCCTCACTGCAACGCCTCTGCAGAGGAAGCTGACTCACCTGAGAGGGGCCCATGTTTCTCCTCAGCCTGCGCAGTGGAGTTGCAGTTCTATGGCCATCCACTAGGTGTCTCTTGCTCGAGAATGCGGTTCCTTTTCAATCAATGTCCAACCTGGCCCACTTTGAGCAAGTTCTATTTACATGCTGTAACTATCACACTAGTCAACGATATGCAAACACAGTATCTAACACCTTATGCTTACCTCCAGACAGTACAATTTAAAGGTATAAAAGTAGAAACTAAAGAATAAAAGATATAAACATGAATGGGCCAGTGAAGTGTCTCTGCTATGAAGTTGCGGATTGGAGTTTAACAGGACTAAACTGTGTTCATATTTTTTGATTCTCTGGTTTTAGACTTAAATCTATTTACTGTACACAAAACAGGCCATCATTTGATTCATATTTATAAATTTGTGTCTAAAACGTTTTTAGCCATTCATCCAGTATTTTGGTGAACCATTAAACTAAAGAATGCAGTCCCCAAAATCCATCTCACTCATGCCCTGTCTTACAAAATGCCTTGCAGTATTTATTATAATGTTATTTTCTTTGACGTATTTCTCTAAAAGTGTTATGTGTAAATTCAAAAACCACTGCAAGAGTTACCAATGTATTCCTGTGTCTTCAACCAATGACTGCCAGCCAGGCCCTGGGGAGCAGAAACTGCCAGGTGTGCTTCCCCTCCCCACATGATCCAGGGGCCATGAGCCAGGTGTGCAGCTGCTTCCGCCCTGCCGTGGAGGTCCTGGTCACCCTGAGGCCTCTCCACAGCCACGGCTCCCGGCCCTTGGGTCAGAGATGACTCACCCCAGAACCGAGAGCGGCAGAGGCTGGGGCTCATCCTTCAGGCCAAATGTCTGTGCTTCCTCCCCTCTCAGCTCAGCTCAGCCTGAATCTCAGAGTTCGAGGCCTGAAAGGGGTCTCAGCAGAACAGCATCTCACGCTGAGACTTCAGTGGGAAACTTGGAATCCATGCCAGGGCCCTGTCCATTCCTGGCTGCTGAAAGTTAGAAGTAGGAGGAGAAGGATTCCATTACCTCCCCCAGGTACTGGTCCTTCCCTGCGATGCCGCTGGACAGGCCAGGATGCGTGAGACCGTGAGTCGCATCTGCTGAAGACGTTTCAAATGTCCCGTGCAAGTCCCACATCCCGTGTGGTGTTCTGTAATGCAGTTGTGAGCAATCGCTCTCATTCCAGGTGAACGCACACCTCAGCCCTGCCACAGCCAAGATGTCCTCTTCTGACTTTTGTTCCATAAAACAGATCTGTGACTTTTGCCAACCTCTTCATGCTCACTGAGGCATTTCTCTCAGAAGGCGTGGAAGTGAGCAGTGTTTGTCCCCTCTGCTCTCTCCGGCTGTGCACCCGGAGATAACCATGTTGGTGACACTGGCTACGAAGGTGCTGGGGGCTTCAGAACTGACAACACACACGCACACACACACGCACACACGTGCACACACACACACGCAACACACGCACGTGTGCACACACAACACGCACACATGCACACACATGTGTGCGCACGTGTGCGCACACACGCACACATGTACACACATGCACGAGCACTGCTGTCACTGGGGAATACAATCCCAGCATGGGCCTCGGGTGTGAGTCTTTCCAATACTTCAGAGAAAAACTAGCATGTGAGCTCTTAGAATGCAGCTCCACACAGTCTGGGCTCCAAAGCCCTCTCTCACGCCCAGTAGCTAAACAGAGACCATCAACACCTGACTTCTGGGATAGGACCTGAGGGCAAGACGCAAACACACAGGGCAGGTGAGGTTTCACGCACAGTATCTCTAGGCGAATGACAGACCGACTTGTCCTCATTCCACTGTA